ACAGGGAGTTAGTCTTTTTATAGCAGAGTTGCAAACTGATTATCCTTTAAATATATTCTGACCACACCCTGAATAACTTAAAAAACACTTCATCGGCCAGGCGCAGTGGCTCAAGCCTGTAATCCCAGCACTTTGGGAGGCCAAGGCAGGCAGATCACAAGGTCTAGAGATCAAGACCATCCTGGCCAACATGGTGAAACCCCGTCTATACTAAAAGTGCAAAAAATTAGCCGGGCTTGGTGGTACGTGCCTGTAGTCCCAGCTACTCAGGAGGCTGAGGCAGGAGAATTGCTTGACACTGGAAAGCAGAAGTTGCAGTGAGGCAGGATCAGGCCACTGCACCCCAGCCTGGCTATGGAACGAGACTCTGTCCCAAAAAGAAAAAAAAAAAAAACTTCATCTGGAAATAAATTATTCTAGGTTACAGATTCTCAGGGTTGAAAGAGACCTTGGAATCGTAATATAGTCTAGCCTTGTTACAGAAGGCAGTCAGGCAGACATGGGCAGAGCAGGAGAGGGCCCACCCTCCCTCCACCCCATCAGAAATTTCAGGTGACCATTAGGTGATAGGTTGTTAAGCTGTTTCTCCAAAATAATAATTGGTTGCAGCTGGCACCAGGGAAAGGCAGTCACTCAATAGATTTTAAAAACAACAACAACAAAAAAAACCCTGAAACTGGTGATTAGCAGCTTCCTGATAAGACCTTAGGTGCTGGGTGAGTGGGCCCAAGTGTGTGCACTAAGAGGCAAAATGGTGGAGATTAACTGGTATATGACCTTCCTCCATGAACACTGGACTGGGAAGGGAAAAATGTTTCAAGTGAGTGTAAGTACAACTTCAGTAAACACATTGTGTATGTGGTCCTCTCCAGTGCTAGCAGACCACTGCACATGCAACAGCCACCTCAAGGGAGGAATCAGGGGAGAAGTAACACAAGCCTGGAAGCATGCCAATGTATAAGACTCCAAGTCAAAGGTCAAACAATGTACTTGATCTCACAGGTCGCCCGCTTGGCCTTCTTCTAAGTGTATTTTACTTCCTTTCATTCTTGCTCTAAAGCTTTTAAATAAACTTTCACTTCTGCTCTAAAACTTGCCTCAGTCTCTCCCTCTGCTTTATGCCCATTGGTTGAATTCTTTCTTCTGAAGAGGCAAGAACTGAGAGGTTGCTGCAGACCGGTATGGATTTGCTGCTGCTAACAGCCTTACCTATAGACTCACAGGTATATTCAGCTCACCCAAGATAGAACATAAGCTATTTTTTAAAATTTTAACAGCAAAGGCAAATAGAACAGAGAAAATACTAAGAACCAGAGCAAATGCAACAATTTTTAACCCTTCCCAGTCAAAGCAACTCAGCTTTCAAACACTTAAAAAAGCTATCCAAAACTCAAAGAGCAGTGTCTTCTCATGACAGCCCTTAAAAATCTCACCAAGCTCATGTTTCAACTTACCTGCTCATAAAATTCATTGACAATACCTTCTGTCCATTTCAAATGCAAGTCCCGAACTTTTGCTGGGCCATTTATATCTGCCAGTTTGATGCACACCTGGCATACCAAGAGGCGATCATTTTCATTCCTCCATTCTATGCCATTACTATTTACATCATTTGCCTGTTTTGGAAAAACAAAATCATTTTAAGTTCTGACGGTGTTTTTTAAAATTGTTATTTTGTTTGCTCTTACCAAATTATCTTAAAACTGTTTCCTGTCTAAATGACAGAAAGAAATTTCAGCAAATAGTTCTTTTTAAAATCAGTTTATTCCATAACATGGAACTCTGCTGGTTAAATTTCCTTTCTAAAAAATGCTTTCTAGAAAAACATAAAACCAACCATGGGTTTCAATATTTGTGATTACCACAAAGAAACAGGATTTATGTGTGTGTGTGTGTGTGTGTGTGTGTGTGTGTGTGTGTGTGTGTGTAATATCTACTAAGTACAGTAGATACACAGTAGCAAAAAATCATATAAGAATTATAACTACTCATTTCTACCTCAAAAAAGAACACTTTAAGAAAGTAGACAAATTTGCTCTAGCTGTGAAAGACAACATGAGACAGTTAACTGAACACAAGTCTGAGAAGCTGGACCTATAGTTTTAAATCCTGACAGAATGTCATGAATCAGCATGTTAAATCCTGAATCAAAAACCAGTGGATAACAATGAAAAAAACTGCTTAACCAATTTGAATCTAACTTTCTTTATCTATGAAGTAGGAAAAGTAATACCAATCTAGCCATGTTGCCATGAGGATTAATAAATGAAAAATGCTTTATTCACAGTATATGTTAAATAAATACTGTTATTTAAACAAACAATTATCATTATTAGCTAGGAAAAGCCTTTCAACAACAAAAATTTTGTTTTGTAAAAAATGAAAAGAATGAACCATATCATAACTTTGAACTTCAGTGTGATGGTTGCTTTTTGGCACCAAACTCTTTCAGAAAAAAAAAAAAATTATGTAGAACACCACCATAGAAAATATTTGAAAGAAGAGCTCTTTTGATTGAAACTTAATAGGAGGTCTAGAGACCCATTCATATGGCATTTTCTTGAGAGACTTCAAAATAGAAGTCTTTAAGGAATATACATTCAAAGGCATTGTGTTTGATAATCTTTTACCTGTAAAAGATGATTTAAACACTTAAATGAATTTTTATTTAAAAATTAAAGTGAATAGAACTACATAACTATGAAATAATTTTAAAGGTACCCTGATTTCTCACTGATTTTTATAAGCATTTCATTAATATCATGACAGCAACATGTATGAGGGTCTCCTACCAGCAGGTTTAATCTAGTACTCTTTTGTTACCAGTTTGTCTACCCTGCAGGTACAGCTTCTTTTAGATCACAAAAGTCATCAAGAAAACAGCCACTTCCTGCAAGCCAGAGTGGGTATCTAAAGCAGTGGTTCTCAACTTTTTTCACCTCAAATGTCTGAGAGATAAAGCACAGTCTCCATGAGTACACTGTCATACTGGGGCAGTGAAAAGGTAAATGTGAGTTCTTTGACCTAGTCTTTCCTCATTTTTCCCTAGCACAATGTCTGCACATAGTGGGCAATCCCAATAAATACTTGTCGAATGAGTGAATTATTCTCAAGTAGAAGAGGGTTACCCTACACTAGTCAGCTAAAGAATCACTAATATAAAGAAAGTATAACAGGTACAGTGAGGTAGGCATAATTAACTGGATTCTTAAGAAACACATAAAATTAATTTGATATAATGTCTTACTTGATGCTGAGCATGGCTTTGTAATATCTCTCTTTAAACTCAATTGAAATAACTGGTTTGTTTCTATGTGAAAGTATGTGAAGCAAAGTCACAGCTGTATGTTTATGTGTCAAAAGAAAATATAACAAGCAATAATATTTTAGGAAATTTTATCCTAACAATAAAAATGTTTATTTTTTAAAATATAGGCATAAATATTATTTTACATCAATTATTTATTGTTACTTCCTAAGTAGTAATAATTCTAACTTAACATTAAAAAACATATTTTACCAGTAATACTGACAATAAACATTTACATTTTTAAAATCAGGCACGAATTTGCATAACAAACCTTGGCATTGAATTCAGCAAGAAAATCAAAATGCTTTTTAAGATCTGTGGCAAGGATTGCTTCGATGACTAAAAAACGAAAACGCTTGAATTCCACATGATCAAGATTAAGAAGGAAGTTGTATTCTGGGCGAGAAAGATACAGATTCCAAGCTGACGCAGCATGATGATTTTCCAAAACAGATTTGTCATTGTATAAAACTGCCTAAAAAGAAATATAGAAAAATGAGACAGACACCTAAAAGATAATAAACTTTAATATCAGTTTGGTATAGAAGTATACAAACAATGAATACCTACTATATACTAAGCATTTTACCAGGTATTTTAGTACCTGTGAAAATACTTGTGATAATTTTATAAATAAGTAGACTGACATGCAAAGAGGTTAAGATATACCTTTCCTTCCAGCATACATAGCTAGTAAGTGAAAGGGTTATTTATCTTCAAAGTTTATTTTTGCAGATACTGTGCTGCCTCCCAAGAGATGTAAAGTTGATATTTTGAAGTCTATTTCATTTAATCAGAAAACCTTCTCAGATAAACTTCTATGAATAAAGTCATTAGGGATCTAGAGCAGGTTTCAAAATACATTTCTGTTGTTTAGTCATTCTGGAGTCAATGGAGATGGTGACTAAAGAAGAGGAAGCAGGCGTACTGTCCAGTGTGAGAGACCTGCCTGTCTGAGATGGACATATCCTGGATTCCCATCCTCACTTAGTGCCTGGGAGTAAAACAGAACTATGGAACATATAAAAACACAAATCCTCTGGTCCTAATTGTGTGGAACTACTAATTTTTTCCACACTTCAGTGGAAGACCCTGAGGTGCCTCCTCGGTACTCTAGGACTTTGGAATACAGACTCAGAATCAGTGGAGTAGGGAATTTCTAAAACCTCTTCCACCTCTAAAAATTAAGCAATTCTTTAAACTATTAAACAAGTATAATAATTACTAGAAGAACTTCTACAGCCAAATTGTGTTAAAGGCCAGGGATAAAAATTAAAACCCTATCCCTGTTTTCATGGCACCTATTATGTAACGATAAAGAAGGACAGATAGAATGAGATCTCAGGTAGGATACACATTCTGAGAGCTTAATTAAATAGCTCTACTTATTTGTGAAAATTAGCTATAGGCTAGATTTAAGCACAGATGCATAACACCAAGTGATTATTTTTTACACTATTTAATTTTATGTAAGCAATGCTATGATTTAAACTTTGCAGTGGGTCATATAAAGGCATTTCATACCACCCATAATACAACTTCTAAACATTATAAATCCCAAAGACAAAGGGTAAGCTTCAAAGACTCCCCAAGGAATCCATTTACATTTAGTAATGATTTGACTAATTCATGCTCAAATGTGACAAAGTTTTAACTATGAAAACAGCTCTGGGGCTCAACGGGGAGAGATTCATGGAGCTGCCGTAAGTTTTACCAACAGACTGCAGTTTCTTCACTGCCAAAATGACATCATTTTCCACCTCTGCCCAGTGTTCAACATCTGACAGTGCTTGTAGGATCTCTCCTGGACAAACCAATCAGGTATGACCAAAACTGCCACTTCTAAAGATTTTGCATGCAGCAGGTGCACAAGATGAAATGTTCACTGTTAAACAGGTCATGCACTATTTAGGTCAGTACATAATGGTGAAGCAGCTTTATGATTAGCAGAAACAGCATATGGTATATTGTGGTGGAGATCTTTTGGGAGAACTACTGGGATGTCAGAGCTTCTCCGTGAAAGACCCAAGCCCTCTCTATGATATGCTAAGAAAGAATCTTGTCACTTTAGCCACTGCTACTACAGATGCGGCTCAGACTCTCGCTCTCACACAGGATCACAGCATGGATATTCCAAGTCAAGACCAACTGAAGCAAAGTGCAGCAGAAAGTTCCGCTTCCAGGAGAAGAACTGCAGAAGATGATATCCCCACACTGCCTACCTCACAGCATAAATGCATAAATTCTAGAGAAGATGAAGACTTAATAGAAAATTTAACCCAAGATGAGACATCTAGGCTGGACCTTGGATTTGAGGAGTGGGATGTAGCTGGCCTACCTTGGTCGTTTTTAGGAAACTTGAGAAACAACTATACACCTAGAAGTAGTGGCTCAACTGATTTACAGACAAATCAGGATGTGGGTACTGCTAGTGTTTCAGATACTACAGATGACTTGTGGTTTTTGAATGAATCAGTATCAGAGCAGTTAGGTGTTGGAATAAAAGTCGAAGCTGCTGATACTGAACAACCAAGAGATGAAGTAGGGAAAATAAGTGACAAAAAGGTGATTGAAGTGGAGAAAAATGAAGATCTTGATGACTCTAAGTTCTTACATGATGATACTGATGTAGAAGTTACCTCTGAGAATGAGTGGCAGTGTACTGAATGCAAGAAATTTAACTCTCCAAGCAAGAGGTACTGTTTTCGTTGTTGGGCCTTGAGGAAGGATTGGTATTCAGATTGTTCAAAGCTAACCCATTCTCTCTCCACATCTGACATCACTGCCATACCTGAAAAGGAAAATGAAGGAATTGATGTGCCTGATTGTCGAAGAACCATTTCGGCTCCTGCCATTAGACCTAAAGATGTGTACGTAAAAAAAGAAAACTCCAAACTTTTAGATCCCTGCAACTCAGTGGAATTCTTGGATTTGGCTCACAGTTCTGAAAGCCAAGAGACCATCTCAAGCATGGGAGAACAGTTAGATAACCTTTCTGAACAGAGAACAGACACAGAAAACACGGAGGATTGCCAGAATCTTTTGAAGCCATGTAGCTTATGTGAGAAAAGACCACGAGATGGGAACATTATTCATGGGAGGACAGGCCATCTTGTCACTTGTTTTCACTGTGCCAGAAGACTAAAGAAGGCTGGGGATTTATGTCCTATTTGCAAGAAAGAGATTCAGCTGGTTATTAAGGTTTTTATAAAATAATGGTAGTACAAATATAAAAGTGCATTTTTAAAAAAATGAAAAGAAAACAGCTCTGTCTGTTCAGGAGAAAGTAATTCAATTCCAGGCTCAATAAAACACAATGTACAATGAGTGCCCTGTGAAGCTAGCTGACTTAATAAACTCACTGCTAGCAAGATCAGTTTTAAAAATGAGTAAGTTCAGAATTCCTTCACCATTCAAATTACCCTTTGAAATTGCCAAGAAATACAAAATGGGGAAAAACAGTAGGAATCAGTTTTAGAATCTACATATATTCACAATACTGAAAACTTCAAAGACATGGTGAAAATGAGAATGGATTGAGAAAAGCCAACCAAGTCACTGCATAAGAAGGAGAAACCTATCTGAAGAGTTAAGTGGAAGGGGTTCCCTGCTGGACCTCAGTAGACTCACAAGCGCAAAGGTGAGCAGGAGGCAAGAAAGAATCATGAAGCAGTAAGTAGGAAGCAAATGTCAATTCTACTTTAGAAGAACACTAGAAGGTAGCACATAGAGCAGCAGACCAAGTTTAAACTGAATAAGAAAAACATTTCAAGCAAGCAGATCATGAAGCCTCAGCTCTTACTATGGGCTCTTAGAAGTAGAGAAGAAAAACAGGGCCCCAGCTCATTTGGAGCTGCAATAAACTAACATCCTTTGACTTTGAGCTAAAGCATCTTGTTACCTGCTTTTTCTAGATCCTTCTCTCTACAACAAATACATCAGTACTTTGGGAAAGCAAATTAGTTGGTCATAAACCTCACTTTTCATCCTCTGAGTTGGAAAGATCTGAGAAGAGGTTTAATACAAACTGACAGAATCTTAACAAATAGTAACATTTTTAAATAAATAAGAGCAAAAGGAGCAAACCCTTCAGACATAAGAAAGACTTAAATCATACAAAGGATGAGTCTGACTAATCTGAGCAAATGTCCCCTTTTAAAATGTAAGAAACAGGAGGAAACATTAACAAAAATCGAGGTCATACTCATTATCTAATGACTAAAAAAGTACTTCAAGTGAAAAAGATTAAGAAGAATTGTTCATTTAAAAAATAATATTCCCAATTCAAAAAATCCAGTAGAGAGAGAGTAGACAAATAAGGTGCTACAGAAAACAAAGCAGCTAGTTTTGTAAAGAAATAGTCTTGATGAACAACTGTCATCTCAGGATTCTTTTACCCTGAAGTTCTCAGTTTGTTCTTTTCTGTGTTTACACGCTATAAAGATAATACCTGAGACTGGGTAATTTATAAACAAAAGAGGTTTAATTGACTCACAGTTCCACAGGGCTGTAAAAGCCTCAGGAAATTTACATTCACGGTGGAAGGCAAGGAAGAGGCAAGAGAGGCCCCAGGAGCACAAAGGGGAAACTACCACTTTTAAACCATCACACCTCATGACAACTCCCTTACTATCACGAGAACAACACGGGAGAACCCAGCCCCAGGATCTAACCACCTTTTGCCAGGGTCCTCTCTTGACATGTAGGGATTAAAATTTGAGAACAGATTTGGGTGGGGACAGAGAGACATACCATATCAGTTCTAAAATTTCTAATAATCCCTTATCTTCCTTTATCTTAGTTACCACCCTTGTTTTGATAAAATACATTTTAAAATAACTTTCTCAGGATGGTCAAGATGTGATTGCTTAAAATCACTGCATATCTGAGAATTTCTTTATTTTGCTCTTATGTAAAATGGCAGCTTAGCTGAATACAGAACTCTAACTTGAAAATAATACTCTTATGCCAGCACTCCTAGCTCTAAAGTCATAATCATATCTTTCTCTGTCTCTCTCTCTCTCTCTCTCTTGCTCTGCTCTCTCTTTTGCTTACACACACATTATTTATTTATTTTCTTGCTTTACTAGAATGTAAGTTCGATGAAGGGCAAGATATTACCCATGTTTTATTTAATGTAACAATGCCTAAATAGTGCCTATCCCACAATATGCACCCAATAAATACATGAACAAATAAATGAATGAATAAAATCCCTTAGAATTTTAGAGACTTCATTTTAGTATTGTCTAGCATCTATTGTTGCTAAAATACAATGACAGTTGAATTTTTGTTCTTTTATAGATGTATTATTTTCATCTTCTAAGGAATTCTTTTATTTTTAAAAATAAAATATCTGGTGTTCTGAAATTTTTTCATGACGTGCTATGTGTGGGGTTTGAGATTTTTTTCTCTCTCTTCAACTTTCCTGGCACTTAGTGAGCTCTTTCAATCCAAAGACTCCCTACTTTTTAGAACTTCCACTAGTCACATCTTGACCTAGTCCCATTTGTCTTATCTTCTCCTTCCCTATCTTTTTATCTTCCTGGTCTATGTTCTAGGAGAGATGACCTGGACTTTTACTACCAATGCTTATATTGAATTATTAAAATTTTCTGCAGTAATATTTTTAGTTTCTAAGAGCCTAACTTGTTCTCTGATGTTTCTTTTTCATAGTTTCCTGTTCTTACTTTATGGATGCAGTATTTTTCAAATTCTTTGAGAATATATTAAAAAAAAATAATTAGATGATTCTCTATTCCCTAGATTCCCCCTGTGGTCAGTTATTCTTTCCATCTTAGCCTTTTCTTTCCAAGCTTCTGGTTAATGCCGTGTCTGATGATCTTTGATTATCTGTATATATAAATAAATGAATTATAGATTGCAGTTGTAATTTCTCTCTGCTGTTATGTATGTTTTATTGTGGAGTCGCTCCCCTTGGGATGAATGAGAGGGAAATACGTAAATGTGGATAGGGTTTGTTACCTAGCAAGTTTTGCTTTAAAATAACTGGGGTGCCAGCTTTTAGATGTTCAGAATGCAAAAAATTTACTTTGGACTACTAACACCCACTCTAGTAACTCTTACTCTCTCCAGGCAGTTTCCTTCAATATCTAAGAGATGAGTTTTCTGCCTGGAGGTAAACATAGGGTTATAATCACTCTGCTTAAAAGTATGTGTGTGCATAGGGAGAACAAACAGGAGCAAATGGTAATAGAAGTCTCTCTGGGGTTCCACCTATGCTGGGTACTTTTGTTTTACCTGTCAATATTCATCCATTTTTCATTTTCCAGAAATGTTATAAATTTTTTTATCTGCTGGTGATAATATCCTTCCTCCTCTTACTCCTCTCTGTTGTAATGAACTTCATACCTTACTATCATTTTAATGCATTCCCAGGAAGAAGGGGAAACAGATACATGTGTTTAGTGATCTTAACCCATATTTTAGGAGACAAAACAGATATACAAATCTCAATTTAAAATTTTGTTTCCTTTTTCCTAGTCTCATCAAAATATTCTAGAAATTTTACTATCTCAAGCACTAACCTCCATCTTTCAGCCAACTTTTCATTTGGAAATAGCTCAGAAATCTCTTAGAATCTTATTAATTCTGACTTTCCTCTAGGATATACTTGACTATATGCGTCACCTTCTTTCATGGCAAGAATTCTCCTGTATCTTTCTAGCACACACTCCTTACTATGAGAATGAAGAGGAATGTTTGAGCCAGTTGGTGGTATTATATGCTACTGTCTATAATACACTGGAACTATAGTATCTTTTATTAATTATGGCCTTACTAGACCCACTGAGTTTCAGAAGATGAAAGAAGTTACTTTGTTACTTAACCACATTAAGCCATAGACTTTTACAAGAGTCCTTATCTCACAGGTGCTAGTAGAAGAAGGCCTCATAAACTTCATTACTTTGGGAAGCACAGAACGTATTTCAGAAAACCTAGGAGTACCACAGAGCGAAGAATTCAGACATCCTTCAACATTCAACAAATATTTACTGAAAGCTTTTTGTATGTCAAGCACTATTCTAGGTAGCATGGAATAAAGGAGACAAAAATCCCTTCCCTTGCAGAACTGTATATTCCTTTGAGGAGATACATATAAAAAACAAAGTACATAAATAAAATATATAGTATCTTAAATGATCACTGCTATGAAAAAAAAGCAGAGAAGGAGCATAACAGTATAAGGAAGGGATTTTGAAATTTCAGATGGAAGGAGGTGACAAAATGAGCATATGCATATCTAAAGAAAAAGTCCTCTGGACAGGAAAAACAGAAAGTACAAACACTCTCAGAAAGGGAGTGTTCCTAGGACAGAGATGGTATTAGCAAGGAAGCCAGTGAGACTACACTTGAGTAAGTTAAAAGAGAGAGAGAGAGAGAGAGAGAGAGAGAGAGAGAGACTTAATGAGGCTAATAATGCAGGGCCTTGCGGAATATTTTATGACTGTCATTTACTAGGAGTAAGGTGAAGGCCATTGGAGAGTTTACTTTTTTGTTTTTATTGTTTTGAAACAGAGTCTCAAATGTTGCCCATTTGGTTGGTCTCAAACTCCTGGGCTCAAGAGATCCTTCTGTCTCAGCCTCCCAAAGCATTGAGATTACAGGTGTAAGCCACAGCACCCAACCGAAGCATCTGGAACAGAGTGATGTAACACACTTAAACAGGGTCACATTCTGGCTATGTGTTGAGAATAGACTGAAGGAGAGCAGAGAACAAGCAATAAGGCTAAGTAAGAGGCTAGACATTTTCACAGGTGAACTCTCTAATCAATCTCCTTTCTATGCTAGCACTTCCTATTGCTTCATCTAATGGAAATTCTTAACAATGAGAAGTTGGAAATAACATGATTACTGATATTATGTTCAGACTTCATGATTGTATTTTGATAAGGACAACAGTTGGGTACCCAACTTGTTTAAGTTGTATTCACATATCATTGTTTTAAATTATCTTCATGTGAGAGAGTTAACTTTGGAATTCACTCATTTGTAACATCCTTGAAAGAGGATATACTTTAAGCAAATGAAAGCAGTAATAAAAACAGAGTGAGCCAGCATGGTAGCTCACGCCTTTAATCCCAGCACTTTGGTAGGCTGGGGCAGATGGATCACCTGAGGTCAGGAAATTTGGGACCAGCCTGGTCAACACAGTGAAACCCCATCTTTACTACAAATACAAAAATTAGCCAGGAATGGTGGTGGGTGCCTGTAATCCCAGC